AGGTTTCATTTAACAGCCTAACCTCTAGGGGAAGTTAATGATCACTGACATGGTTTTGAATAAACTAAAAATATAAAATCCAATAACATCAACAAAGCAGAGGTTACTTAAGCTTAAATAATTATAGGAAAGGTTACTTTTATCATTCAGAAACTCTATTTCAAAGTAGACTGCAGTCCAGAATGCCCATAGTCATCTTTTGCACTCTCAGATAATGCTTGGCAATTAACATGTAGTTTGTACCTGCTGAATCTAACTCTAGTTCTTGCATTTCTTACTCAAAGAATGGTTTCATCAGATAAAATATTCACCGTCAATGTGACATCAGCTACACAGAAATGAATCTTTCTGTAACCTGGATACCAGCATGTCTCAGGGTATATGAGAAATAGGATTAGATACTTAACCATGTTGATTTATTGCTCAATGCACTGGGTTAATTGAATGCCCAAATTTGGGGATACTATTATTTATTTGTATTACAGTAGTACCTAGAGACCCCAGAAAAGACTTTGTCCCAGGTTTTGTACATACAGCTGGTAAGAGACCTGAACAGGTCACAATCTAAATAGACAAAACAGACATAAGGGAGTTGGGACCAAATTGTTTTCTACTTCACATTTGGCATGGGATGTAAGAAGTGTTCACCTTCCTATGGAAGGGTATCTGTCAGCAGGTGATTGAGCAGTGGTTTGGACATATTTCCTTCTTTTAAATGTAGGCCAAAGATATTTTTTGTTCAATTCAGGTCAGACAGTTCAAAAAACAAATGGTGCTTTGCTCCCTGGATCTATCCATGATCCAAGCTGCATTCCCTAATGATACTACTCATAGTACCTTCTCACAGTAGATTGTCACGCTCTTCATACGATGAGCATCACTCTTCTTTTATGTGTTTTGGTCAGTAATGAAACAGTTTTAAAAGTTGACATGTAAATTACTATCATAAGGCTGCAGAGCTACCATGTCACTGAAATGACCTACGTACGTTACAGGCTCTCTGCACTCAGATTCCACGTTTCCATTAACCTTTTCTGTGAGCTGCTGAGCATCGCTCAAATAAATTTGTTAGTCTCTAAGGTGCCACAAGTACTCCTTTTATTTTTGCGAATACAGACTAACACGGCTGCTAGTCTGAAACCTGAGCATCCCTTGTGAGTTACCCTCACCTCCTATTGGCTTAGAGTATCCACCACACATTTGAATGATATATAAAGAATATATATAATAAACATGATTAAGGGTTTCTTTGCACCCATAGGGACTAGATTTCTTTTTTAAATGAAAGCTTAGATTTTGGGACACAAGATGGCAGTCACCAGCACCCTGCAAGCCAGTCCAATTCAGCCCCTGCTGCTACCACACTCATAAATATTTGAGATGCTAAATCACTGTTTGTAAATTGCCACAGGCCATGCATGGAATGAAATGGACTTCAGAAATGTAGTTAGATCAACTCATTTAAACTAAAAATTAATATGAATACTGTAAATCAAGCTTTCATTTATGTAGCATTTAAATTAGTATTATGATAAATCCAGAATAGGTAATGCCAGCAAATATCACATATTACTGTGTGCAATATAAAAATGCTCTGGGGACTATTGAATACTGTTCCTTGGCTTTAAAACAGATGAATTCATCAGTTCATTGAGAACTGATTAACCCCATATATAGATAATACCAGACGAAAGGGACACCATGATAGAAACAGAGTTGTAAACTCCTCAATTGATTAAATAATTACAGTTTGAGGGGGAAGCAGTGTTTTAAATATATTCTGTTTCAGCTTTCACAAAATTGGCCCCAATCCTACCAGCTATTCCACACAGGCAAAGGGGATTGCCTGCAAGGATCCAGCTGTAGGATCAGGGACTTGTTTTCCAAATCTCTCATTCATTTCACACTGTCCTTAACATTTGGTAACATCAAAATCTGACTCCCTGGGCTTAAATCTTGACTTTGGAACTCTTCTCTTAGTTAACTAATGCATATATCTAAAATGATACAAATACACTTTTTGACATTTCCCGTTTATTTATTGCTTTTCCTTTCTTCTATATACCAACGTATAAGGATTTTCTGGGGAAAATCTTGTTTTATATTGGTCCTAAATAAAGTTTACAAGAGAGGCCTCTTACTGTACATGGTTAACGTGAAAACAAACCATTCCTCAGGTCAGTTTTAATTAAAAGGATACCCTCTGAATTTATTTGTCCCAAAATTCAAAGGGTGAAATCCTGGCCCCAATGAAGGCAATGGCCAAATTCCTATTGACTCACAGGTTCCATCCAAAGATCATAAGAACAAAACTTCAATGAAAACTAGTTGTTGTTAAACAAATAAATATTCCTCTACAAAGCAATAAGCCAAAATACTGTATCAAAGGAACCTAAACGTGAAATTGTGACTATAAACAAAAGTGATACTGACTTCATTGATTTTCGTCATCTAAGCTGAGAGAAATGCAAAAGGTAAACAAAGAGCATAAAAAGGATGAATATATTAGACTGGGATTCTGCACCGCTGAAGACTCAATGCAAGGGTGGCACTTGGAGGTATAAAATGTTGTATTTATCTCAATGTGCTGTTAAATCTCAAACCTAGGTATTACAATTAAATATCAATATATCTTAGTAAACTATTGATGGTTTTAGTAAAAACATCCAGCATGTGTGCTTATCCCACAATCCCAAACGTATACCATAGCTTCCTAGGTACTAGTAACCCAAATACTCAACTGTTAGACAATTTCTAAAATACACTGACAATACCACCATCTGTGGCATGTTGAAAAGTAAAACTGTGAGGATAGCATAAAATACACTGAAATTAATAGAAAAATAAATAATATAGAGGCTCCTGTACTGCATGTATTTTTCATTTTCAAATCTCATGCATCTCAATTAAAATATAGGTTTTAGTGAAACTGTCGAAGAATTTCCTATCTTCTGCACCACAGTGCTGCAGAATCCAGGGATTTTGCTGCAGATTTTGAATCCAGCTTGCCACATTGTATACTGCTTGCTATTTTGCATGAAGCTACTTGTGGAAGGAGATAGTCATAGGAAATGGAACTCTATTAGTTACTATTTTTTGTTAATAATATCTCTTGGGAATGTATTTTATATGCTTGTCAGCAATCTATATTATAGTCCTCAGTGGTACTTAGCAGATGTATCCTTCTGACAAAATCTATTAATGTATTATCTTATGAAAAATTTATTCTGTTGAATGAATAAAAAGCTTTGCTTAGTAATCGAATATTGACAAACAATGAACTAGGTTATGATGTGTTATTAATATGCTCCTTAAGTCAGCTTTCTGCTTACACTCAAGAAGAGTATTAATAACCTAAATAAAACATGCCCTAGAGTGCCTTTATACAAAAGTGAAACCTTTCTTTAATGGATCACCTAGGGGACCATCAAAAAATTGATTGCTTAATTGTGCTTAACAAATGGCTGATCCAAAGTTTACTGTAAAGTTGAAAACCTTGGAAATGCTCTAAAGCAGTGTCATCGAAAACAGAGCTGCCCACTGGACATCTCGTTCCTCCAAGCAGGTTTCACTTCAATTACCCTCTCCCATTTAAGACACTACCAAATAACTTTTTGCCACTGAAACCCAGGTTGGGCCCCTAAGATCCAGCTGTGAATCATTTGTCCACACTTAATGAGCAAAAGTGATTAACTTAGAGAGATAGCAGTGGGTACAATATGGTCTTTTGGTTTTCCGGTAAATAGCTTAACTTCTCAAAAAATGGTCTGAAAATCGCAGGCAGAAATGCTGTCTGCCAGGTTCCCATGTAACAGTTATGCCAGTGCTACCATGACCCTCTGCCCTTTACAATAAGAACATAATGGCTATATTGGGTCAGACCAATGATCCATCTAGCCCTGTATCCTGTCTCGGACTGTGGCCAGAGCTTCAGGGGAAGTGTACAAAACAGGGCAATTTTGGAGAGATCCACCCATCCTCCCCTCCTGGCTTTGGCAGTCAGAGCTTTAGAGTTGCCCTAGGCATAGGGTTACATCCCTGATCATCTTGGCTAATAACTGTTGATTGACCTATTCTCAGTGACCTTATCTAGTTCTTTTTTTAACCCAGTTATTCTTTTGGCCACCAAACATCCCATGGCAATGAGTTCCACAGGTTAGTTGTGTGTTTGTGAAAAGGAGTTCCTCTTGTTTGTATTCAATCTGCTTCCTGTTAATTTCAGCAGGTGACCCCTAGGTTTTGTATTATGGAATAGAGTAAATAACACTTATCTATTCACTTTTTCCACACCACTCATAATTTTATAGACCTCTAGCCTCTGCCGTTTCCCCCCTCCCCCATCTTCTCTTTTCTAAACTGAACAGCCCTTATCTTTTTAGTCTCTCCTTGTACGGAAGCCATTCCATGCCCTTTATCATCTGTGTTGCCCTTCTCTGTTCCTTGCCCAGTTATTGTTTTTGAGATGAGGTCACCAGAACGGGTCACAGTATTCAAAGAGTGGGCGCACCATGGCTTTATACGGTGGCACTATGTTATTTTCTGCTTTATTTTCCATCCCTTTCCTAACACTGCCTAAGAGTGTTCGCCTTTTTGACCACTGCTGCGCATTGAGCTGAAATTTTTGGAGAACTAACCACGGCGATGCCAAGATCTCTCTGGAGCAGTGATGGTGAATTTACACCCCACCGTTCTACCTGGCATCATTTTTCCAGATGTGCATCACTTGGCAAGGCTCACTGCTGGATTTCAATGGGGCCCAGGGGCCTGCCCTCAGCAGGGAGGTAACAGCAGCCCCCCCCCCCTTGCTCCTTGCACCAGGTCCCACTTCCCCCAGCGCCTCCCCTCCACCTGGCACCACCCCTCAACAGCCCATTGGCCGAGGCCCGCAGCCCACAGGGAGCAGGTCGGCAGGGGGCGGAGCGTCCTCTCGACGTCACTCCGTGCCGCTCCAACCAGCCAGCGGGTGTCCCCCCCTCCCCGCCCCGAGAGGGGAGTCGCTCCGGGGACGCCCTAGGCGGCGGCCAATGAGGAGCGGCGGCACGCCGGCAGGGCACGTGGCCAATGGGGAGCGCTGTTACGTGGCTGCTGGCCGGCGGGCTGGGACCGCTCTCTCTGCTGCGGGATCCGTGGTGCCTGCTCGAGCGGCAGCCGCGCGGCGCCCTCCTGGGCGGGAGGTGAGGCTGGGACTCCCGGGCCGGGCGCGCTGGTCAAGGCGGGGGCGTCCTGGCTGCTCATCACGGGCACGCCGGTGTGCGGCTGCAGCGGGGCCCTGCGCCGGCCAGGGGGTGTCCCCCTGCAGTGCCCGGCCTCTCCTCCTCCGTACCCGCCCTGGGGCTGCAGCGCCCCGGCGTAGCGCCGCGCTGCTGTGTGGGGAGCCACGGGCCTTGCGCCGCTCACCGTGGCTGCTGGGCGTGGGTCGCCTGCCGGAGCCGTGAAAGCCGCCTGGGCAGGGAGGCGCCCTGCACCGCGCTGGAACCGGCTGCCGGCTGTGCGGGCGCTGGAGCTCCCCTCTAGCCCTGGGGCGGCGATCGGAGACCCCTGGAGCCGGAGCAGGCACGTGGGCCTTCTGGCAGCGGCATTGACCCTGACCGTTCTCCACAGCTCTGTCCCCAGCAGTGGGGTGGCCGCCCCCAGCGCTCTCGGAGGCAGCGATGGAGCCGAGTACAGCGGAGTTAAGACTTTTCCAGCCTAAATATGCTTTTACTCCTCCATCCGCCCCAAGAGAGAGAACAGGAGCAAAGGGGAAGGGCAAATGGGGGTGTAGCTGGTGCAAGAAAGATGGTGAAGGAGCCACGGAAGCCACAAGGCCAGGGGGAGTGAGGAAGGGTATAAGTCATATTCATCAGCAACCGCTGCTGAGATTTCCTTTAACACTTGCCTTCTTATTATTCTCTGTATGGTAGATGGAGACTCTCAGGAGCTGTGTGTGTACCAGGTCTGGTGGTGGTTTGGGAGTGGGTACCTGTGGGGAGGACAGTTTCCTGTATTTTGCTTATGGCAGTAACCTGCTTCGGGAGAGGATCCTGCTAAAAAACCCATCTGCCACTTTCTATGCTGTAGCCAACTTGCAGGTCTGTATCTATGGGAGAGATGGAACCCTGTATTCCCCTTTCCTTTAAGGCTACATTTCTTTGGCACATATAATTCTGTGTTTTAATTATGGTTTCAGGAATTTGGGGAGGAGGCATAGCAGCTACATTAGGGAAAATGTTTGTTACATTTCACTAACACTTAATTTTACTTTTAAGCCTGTAGAATATGGAAGTACGCTTTGTGAAGCTCTAAGCTCGTGTCTGAACGTGACCTGAGTAGAGCTGGTGCTGCCTTCATCCCATTGCTTCATAGGCTACCTGAATTGAAAATACTTTTGGCAGGGACACTGTGGGCACCAAACAGCATGTAACTGAAAAAGTTCTGGGTGTTTAGAGCCCCTCCTAGATAGCCTTAAATGCTTTACACTTAAACTGGCCACTGGAGACTCTCAAAGCACTTGGCAAACATTACTGAATTAAGTCTCACATGTATGAGTGAGAGAAACATTATTATGCCGATGGTTACAGATGAGGAAACGGAGGCATAAAGCCTTAAAGGGACTTACCCAAGGTCACCCAGGAAGCTCATGGCAGAGCCCGAATGTAAAATCTGGATCGCCTGACTTCATGTCCAGTGTTCTAATGAGATCATCCCTTACCCTTCATAATTCTGCTTATTTATCAGTTCTAATCTATTTGACGTTTGGAATGTAACCCCATTGCCCCCAAAATCAAGTTTTCCAGTCATCTTGGCTATCATGAACTTCTCATCTTTTAAATGCATCTAAAACTGGGCATCCAGTCGATATCAGACCCAGAGTCAGGGTCATGTAGTTTATCCTCCAGGGGGCAGACTGGAATCAGTTTTGGTGAAGATCTTTGCATTAACCCTTTGAATGAATTTCAGAAATAATAATGGAAGGTGACTAAAACTCTACAAATCCTGATTGGCTAAGAGTTGCATCCATTTTTTTAAAAACAACCAGTGTTAGCAGATCAAATGTTGTTAAAACTATGAGGAAAATTGTGCTGAAGTTGTACATTTAGCAGGTTCTAAACTATCAAACAGCATAAAGTGTAATGCAATGAAGACTTCAAAGAGCTCCTTGGAAAAATATTTTGCTACATAAGGGCACTTCTTCATGAGAGAAAACTCCCACTGAAACCAGTAAGAGTTTGGCTGAATTAAGAGTGCTGGTTAGGACTTCATATGCCAGGATAAAGAGTGTCAAAAAATGTAAATGAGACATCTGAAAAAGAGAGCTTATTAGACCAAAAATTTTCATTAAGAGCTAGATAAGCTCTCATAATCAAGACATTTTTACTTTAGTCCATCAAGTTACTAACTTCTCGTTTTTCTTATGCCTCAGTATTGGAATATGTCTGGTATTCTTTGAAGGTTCTGCCATTCAAATTGATGCTGCACACACATGTCAACAAATTGCACTGAGGCTGGAATTACTTACTCTGCAGTTTCGTCCTGGACAAACTGGTGGCTGAAAGGAAACTGGGACAACTCAGTTTTCTGGCAGATAAATAGACGGGAGCAAGTCTCTCCTTCCCCAGGGATAGGGTGGTTTTTAGTATCTCTTTCAGAGCCAGGCCTAGCACAGTTCAAGGCTTTTTATGCTGTCTTGTCTGGGCATAAAGGGAGCTTTTCGTCAGTGAATTGCAACTTCACGTTTCTTTCAAAAACATGGTTATTTTGCTGGCTTCACTGGAAGCGTGAGTGGATTATTTGTGCATCTTTGAATTGGGGTTGAAATGTACTGACAAAGCCTTGTTGGGAGAGCCTATTAACCTTAGCTGAAGCCAGTACTGCTATCACTATCTGACATCTGCAGGCAATACATTCGCTCATAAATGTGTCATAAAGTAAGAGTTACAATTTGTTTTGATTTTTAATGTTTCCACAATTTTTAAAAATACATTCCCGTGGAAATAGTTGCTTTAACAACAAATATACTTTCTCTTGCGCGTCTGAAACCCAGATGTTTGTAGCGCTAGGGATGTGAAAGTGACTGCACTCCAAACTGAGAGAGAGCCAAAAAGTAAATGGAACATAGTGACACACGGGTATTTTTTATCATTTTTACTTTGACCTCAGATTTTACTAGTAATCTTGGTACTGAAATTGATTTGTTTACAATATCTGACTTAATCTGAAAGTATCACTTTAATGTTAATCACCAAAACTCAGGCCATGTCTACACTGACACTTGTGTCGGCATAACTTTTTTGTTGCTCTGGAGTGTGGAAAAAAAACAGCCCCGTGAGCGACATAAGCACTTGTGCACAGCACTGTGTCGGCCAGAGATGCTCTTCTGTGGACAGAGCAACCGCCGCCCGTTGAGCTGGTTTTATTATGTTGGTGGGAGAGCTCTCTCCAATCGGCATAACACAGCTACACGAGCGCTCTTATAGTGGTACAGCTGTGCCACTGTAAGCTTGTAAGTGTAGAGGTGGTTTTAGTGAACATGCCTTCCATAATTTTGGGATGCAGTAATCTTAATGGTCTAGCAGCTGGGATGTATTACTAAATTTTCATTGAATTTGCTGAACAGCTATCAAACATTAGTATATAAAGTTTTCTTACACAATATTTATTATTTAAAGCACCTTAGTGTAAGAATTTAATGTAAACGCCATGACAGTTAAATAAACTACCTTGCTCATTCAGATTTAAGCTACTGATCTAAAGATTTCCAGTATAAAAGATCTTAACAGTTGCATCCTTTGTTCATATCAACATATCTATTTGAATGACTTGTGCATGGTGGTCTAGTGCCAACTGGAGGGAAAGGTGAACTCTATCAGAGGGTGTCTGAAAGTTCCAAAGACTACTGTGATTAATATCAAATATATGGTCATAAGTGTACTCCTTCAACCACCAGTCTTCTGGCAATTAGAGCCTGATCATCTGAAGTGCTGAGCACTTTCAAATATCACTGATAAGTCAAAAATACTCAGCCCATCAGAGGCTTCTCAGCACCTGGCAGAATCAGGCCCTGAAGGAGAAGATGAAAGTAGCAAAGTGCAGTATCTCTAACAAAAGAATGTTGTGTGAGACTTTTTGCCGAGTTGCAACCTTCAGTTTGTTTACTGACTTTCAGGTTATGCAGTAAGTATGTTATGTAGCAATGCAAGTTAACTGTTCTGATCTGGCTCCCAATTTCTGGTTGTTTAGAACAGATCTATGAGCTGTGCAGTGTGCTAACACAGGCTGCTTTTGATCCATTGCTCCATTCTGATTGTTATACTGTGTTTCAAAAAGAACGGAGATCTCAGAATGAAAAGGCATTACACAGATTAACAGTTGCCTTCTGATAATTTCTGTACAGTGAAACCAGGTAAGGCTGATGAGACAAAACCAGCCTTGGAATAAAAGGTTAAGAATGCTGACCAGGAGTGTTAGCTTTCACAGAGAGAAGTAAGATATCAGTGTGTAAAATGAAGCAATCTGAACTTTGGGGGTGGGGCTGATGGAGTGGAAATGAGTGGTTATGGTAAATGGACAAGAGAAAATAAGGAACACAAGCAAAAAAACAACTAAAATTGGATCAGCATTTAGGAGAGGGGCAAAAAAATTAAGGGCATGAGCCCAAGTCGTGCCCAGAGCCTTTATTGCTGTTAACGCCCATAGGCACAGGAGATGCTGAGCATCTTACAGAATGAAGTCCAAAGTGGTCTTAGAACAAAACAGGAAAAGCTTCAGAAAGGATCGAAAAATAATTAATTTTTCTTAGAGTATCATCAATGGGCTCAGTTCTGTACAAAACCAGAAAGACCACCTCTTTAAGGGAAGGAGGGCTCAATCCTGCAAACATTTGCCCATGTCTGTAACTTTATGCCTGTGACTTCAGTGGGATTACTGGCGTGCATACAATTACTCATGCTTGAGAGTTTGCAGGATCTAACCTGGAGTCTTGAATGATATACAAGAATCTGGTGACCCTTACACTCTGAAATCACTTTGTAGCAACTCATGGAATGGCTGAGGATTAGCATTCACGTAGGTATATTTCTGTTTTAGAGAGCATTTTGAGAAAAATTGCCTTTTGGAGGGTTTAGTTGCACCCTCTTATATATGGGGCATATTTTGTAAAACCACCTGTTGCATCCTCATGGCTTATTGAAGATCAGACAAGAACCTCCAAAGTGTAGAATTTATTTTTTTTAAGCCCTTCAAATTTCAGAAATATTTTTAAAGATTGAAAAACATATTTGAGCAGATCTGTAAGCAGTAGCTCACTTCAGAAATTAAAAACCTTAACAACTAAAAACACTTTAAAGGGACATCAATTTGAAATATAGTCACTTTAAATAAAGGAGGGGATCGCAGCTTAAAAGTAGTTTAAAGAACTTTGCTTGTTCTTGAGTGACCTAGTCACTGGTGTTGGTACCATTAGTTTTCTTACTTTTCTTTAGAACGTCTCTCTACACTGCTGCTGGATGAAAGGCCCACACAAACTGGAGACTGGCTGACAACTGATTAGTCACTCACCATTTCCATGATGTGCTGAGTGCTGTCTGATGCCCAAAGTAAAACTGAAAAAAATAGAAGGAAAAGTTTTTCCTGTATTTTATTTTACAGGAAACTTTATAGCAGGGGTCTCAAACTCCGTTTACCTTAGGGCCAGTGCCAGTCCTCAAATCCTCCCGGCGGGCCAATAATGTCACTGAAGATGGTGTTCAGAAAGAAAACGTTTATATTGTATTTTTTATTTCGAATTTCTTAGAAATAATAAAACTGTCCTACAAGTTTATACAATTCCTCACCTGCTAGAGAGTTTTTAGTGTTTGCCAGACACCTGGCAACACTTCAGTTCTGTCAGTTTGTTGATGTTTGGCCTTAGTGATTGAGCAGTTGAAACCTTCAGGATTGCAGCAAGGTGTGCATCAAATAGTTCCGTTCGGTATTTTGACTTGTTTATATTCACTGTGGGGAAAAAAGTGACACTGCCTCCATGGCTGACTCTGCCTGGCAACTAGTGATGCTGCCTCCGTGGGTGACTCTGCCCGGAGACTAGTGATGGTATCTCTGTCCCTCTTCCCCAGCCAATAGGAGCTGCGAAGGGCAGTGCCTGCAGCAGACATTGCCGGCAGCGTGGCTGCATGTGTCTCCTCTGCGGGCTACAGTGGGGAGGTTCTCCGGCCACAGACGGCCCGTGGGCCAGGACTTTGAGACCCCTGCTCTATAGTAAAATTAGGTTTTACTTGTGAAAACAGGAGGTATGTGAGTTCTAAAAGAATCTCAATTTTGCACCTACAATGGGTTTAAAAAAAAAATCAGATGAAAATATCCCTTAAAAGTCTCTCACCTATTGTTCTTACAGGTAACACCCAAGAATATTCTAACTGAAGAATTAGAAACTTTTTTCAGTTTACTTTGTGCATTTGATAGCACTTTCTGCCTACTCACTTTTGGTGGTCAGTTTCAGTTCCTTTCTTTTCTCATATGCTAGCATGATGACTTCTCACATGCTGGGGCAGCTCAGATGCATGCTCTTCCTTACGCCCTTCAAGAGGGTGTTCACAAGTAACAGCAGCACCAAAAGCTGAGAAGGAATAAGCAGGTGACAGGCATGTACACGGAGAGGAAGGGAACAAAGAGGAGTACTGGGCCCTAACAGGTTTGGTGCTGTGGCTCTCAGGCTCACCCAAAAAACTCTTCTAAACCTTTGATGGGCAGCAGAAAACCATTACAGAAACAGGATTTAACTTCAGAGAGTCACTGACATCCCTTTAACATTACTGTATTGTATTTAATGTAGAATGTATCTATTACATTAAGATGAGGTTGTGGCTCTTTCTCTGCCAGTCCCATTTTCTAGCAACTCTTGTTAGTTGTTTGGCCTAAAAAATAGAGATATACCAGATCTGGGCTCAAATTTCACAGTGCAGCTCCATCATCACTAATAATGAACCTACCATCCCTTTCTTCCTTCCCCAAACCCATTTTTTTTCTTGGGGCCTGATGAAACTCCCACTGAAGTCTGCAGAAAGTATCCAGTTGATCCCAGTCAGAGCTGGATCACATCCTTAATGAAGAAAAAGTAACTCTGCTGGCTCTTCTTGTAGACTTTGCTTAAGCTCGTAATTTGTGAAGAAAACCCATATCACTGAGTTTAAGTGGAAATTGATCATTTGTATTGATTTAATTTGCAGGATTTTAAACTCGTTTTCGGCAATCATCAAGGCAAACCAAGTTCTTACTGGCATGGAAGTACAGCTACCATTGTTCAAAGCCCTGGAGATGAAGTGTGGGGAGTAGTATGGAAAATGAACACTAGCGATTTAAATTCGCTGGATAAGTAGGTGCATTCTAATGTCTTGTGTCACTTTAGAAAGCAAGCCAAATGCAATGGTTATTTTTCAGTAATCAATGTGGTGGGTTTGTGTTGGATCAGGGAGAACATTGGATTCTAAAACACAAATTTAACTCCAAAATTATCTCTAATGCTTTGGAAGCTGATAAACTTAACATTGCTTAAACTTGAGAAGCAAAAAAACTTTAAAGAAGAGCTTTGATATGAGGAAAGGATTCTGAACTGTTGGATTGAACTTAAATTCGTGTCAGTCACTAAAAAATTGTTGTAATCTCTTTCCATATTTGCTAATTATCAAAGCTCTTTGAGCAAGGTTTTCTGCCTTTGCAGCCCAATATCTGTTTTGTTCTACAGTGGAGAGGAGATGATACTGAGTTTGACATTGTGATTTCTATGTCAATAGACTGATATGAGCACCATATTGGGACTTCATCTTGGGCTCCAGCAGGAGGAAGATGAACTGGGCTGTGTAGTAGATAACTAGCTCTCCCATGCTAGCAAAGGGAGCTCTTGGAAAAGCCACTAATACAGTAATTTTCTAAGTTTGCAACAGATTTCAAAATGTTCACTTTGAAGTTAGTCACAACTATAAAGTAACTAGGGAGCAGAATAGGAATCTCTTGTGGCAGTTAAATGAGGAGCATGGGAACTGTGACGATTCAGTTGTCCCTCCCAGCGCAAACCTGTCCTTCCCCTGTTCAGTGACAACTTAGATAGCTCTGTCACCTATCAAATTGCTTGCCTGCCTGCCTGCATGCTGGAGAGCATTGAGGCAGTACATGGCTAAGAACCTCAGAAAATCATCCCTCTCATTTGCAGATACCTTAATAAGGATTTAGGAGCCTAACTTTAGACACTGTTTGGAAACTTTGGCCAGAGTTCTGTACTTGTTTTATTACAGCTCTTAGTGGCCTAGTCTATAAAACTGAAATTTCAATTTGCACGTTAATGGTGTGTGAGTCTGAATCTGCACGGGGCTGAGTTCTCTCAGCCGCCATTGACTTCAGCACCTCACAGGATCAGGCCCATTGTGAATGCTTTCAGGATTTGAAGAATAAAATTCATGTTACAAAGTTTAGTTTGGAGACATTGGAATTAGATTAAATCTGAGCAGTAAATTACCTTGTGTACTTCTCACTGGGGAGAAGTCCTCACTCTTTCTCCTACCCAATTCTCTGCACCTTACTGCTCCCACTAGTGATCATACTATAGATCCTGTCTCTTTTCTACAACATCTTAACTTTCCATGCGTTCCTGAAACCTAAAATACTTCACAGAGCTAAAGATCCCATAACTATTTCTGTCTGTGAGGGAAGATACTGCCTTACCAGCACTGTCAGGAAAGAATAGGTTGATTGAAATGAGCTGTAGCTCACGAAAGCTCATGCTCAAATAAATTGGTTAGTCTCTAAGGTGCCACAAGTACTCCTTTTCTTTTTGGTAAATAATTGTAATTTGTACTGTGGAGTTTTAAATCACTTTTAATCACTTTTAATGCTAGTGAAATGTACCTGATTGGCAGCCCTGGAGACTCAACTGTTCTGACTCAACAGAAAAGTTACAGGATGGGCATTAGCATTGCTGGCTTGCTCCCCCAACAGTTCACGAATAGGTCCTAAAGGTGATCTTCGAAAGGAAAGAAACTGGATTTGTCCTCTTTGCTTCTTTATGACCTATAAACAAAACATGATTTAAAAAAAAATCTAGTGCTAGTCTTTTCACTCAATATTCAGGTTTGATCTACCCCGTCTTCCTAGTGATCTGGTATAATTATGATGGAGTAACCATGAAGTGAAAAGTGATAGGAAACTATTTTTATCAGACGTTAAAAATTTGCTTTTTGTGTGTTAATGTAAACTTTTTCCCTTTCTGCACTCCTTGCCCTCTAGAAATAATTACTAGGATTTCTACCTGTTAAAATGCTTATGTTCGCTTTTGTTCTGATAACATGGCAGCGTTTAAGGACTATGGTCCCAATCCTGCAAAGGCTTACATTATGTCTACACTATGGACCTTACAGCGGCACAGCTGTATCGCTACAGCTGTACTGTTGTAAGGTCTCCTGTGTAGCTGCTCTTTGCTGACAGGAGAGAGCTCTCCTGCCAGCATAATTAAACCACCCCCAAGGAGCAGCGTTAGCAATGTTGGAAGGAGAGGCTCTCCTGCTGACATAGCACTGTCCACACCAGCACTTCTGTCGGTGAAACGTATGTTGATCAGGGGTGTGTTGTTTTTTTCCACACCCCAGATCGACAAAAGTTTTGCTGACAAATGTGCTAGTGTAGACAAGGCCTTAAATGTGTAGAGTTAAGCACAGACATCAAATAGTCCTGCTGAAATCAGTGGGACTGTTTGCACTTTGTAGTTGCACACATTTGTAAGTGTCTGCAGGATTGGGACATAGTTATAGCTCAAATAGATTAATTTTCCTTATGTTACGTTGGATTATTAAACCTGAAAAATCCAGTTTTGCTTTTTACTGGGTGTGTTCATGTCATAAATATAAAGGGAAGGGTAAACCCCTTTGAAATCCCTCCTGGCCAGGGGAAATCTCCTCTCACCTGTAAAGGGTTAAGAAGCTAAAGGTAACCTCGCTGGCACCTGACCAAAATGACCAATGAGGAGACAAGATACTTTCAAAAGCTGGGAGGAGGGAGAGGAACAAAGGGGTCTGTGTCTGTCTGTTGCTGCTTCTTGCCAGGGACAGAACAGGAATGGAGTCTTAGAACTTTTAGTAAGTAATCTAGCTAGGTATGTGTTAGATTATGATTTCTTTAAATGGCTGAGAAAAGCATTGTGCTGAATAGAATAACTATTTCTGTCTGTGTATCTTTTTTGTAACTTAAGGTTTTGCCTAGAGGGGTTCTCTATGTTTTTGAATCTAATTACCCTGTAAGATATCTACCATCCTGATTTTACAGGGGGGATTTCTTTATTTCTATTTACTTCTATTTTTTATTAAAAGTCTTCTTGTAAAAACTGAATGCTCTTTCATTGTTCTCAGATCCAAGGGTTTGGGTCTGTGGTCACCTATGCAAATTGGTGAGGCTTTTTATCCAACATTTCCCAGGAAAGGGGGGGTGCAAGTGTTGGGAGGATTGTTCATTGTTCTTAAGATCCAAGGGTCTGGGTCTGTAGTCACCTAGGCAAATTGGTGAGGCTTTTTACCAAACCTTGTCCAGGAAGTGGGGTGCAAGGTTTTGGGAAGTATTTTGGGGGGAAAGACGCGTCCAAACAGCTCTTCCCCAGTATTAGTTTGGTGGTGGTAGCGGCCATTCCAAGGATAACGGGTGTAATATTTTGTACCTTGGGGAAGTTTTGACCTAAGCTGGTAAAGATAAGCTTAGGAGGTTTTTCATGCAGGTCCCCACATCTGTACCCTAGAGTTCAGAGTGGGGGAGGAACCTTGACATGGTGGCACAGTGGTGGGATTAACCTGAAATCATCTGAGATCCAGTTGAGATTTTTTGAACTAGAAATACAGATTTTAAAAAGGAAATTTTTTTTTTCTTTGGAAAGAAAGTCCAGAAAGCAGCTTTGAAACTGAAAGCAGCTTGGTTTCTCTCTGCTTTGTGGCCAAGCAGAGACAAAAGGGGATTATCTTGTGAATTGCAGGTTTTCTTTGCCTGGAGGCAGGGTACTTAACTCCTGCAGGGAAATTCACAGTCTTCCAACCCAGAGGTTTTTTTTTTTTCTCTTTTCTTCCTAAAAGTAAATAGGGGGTGTGTGTTCTACCCATTTGCTTTTTCTTTGGGCTGGGTAAGCAGGTTTCCAAGTAGTTGGAGGTTTTTTGCTTTAATTTGGGCCCAGAGCAGAGACAAGAGAATTGTCTTTTTCTGTAGGCTGACAGTCACTATCAGAGAATAGGTATTCTATTCCAGCACAGCAAAATTTTACAGCCAAGTTTTGTTTGTTTATTTCTAAACCTCGGGTGTAAAGTTAGTAAAAACAGAGAGGTTAGAATGGCAAAATCCGCGGCTCGACTACAGCTCGAATTAGCCAAATTTCAGGCTGAGGAAAGACAAAGGGAACATGAAAGACAGATAGAACTCATGCAGCTGAAGAAGGAACAAGAAAGGGAGGCAGAACAACACCAAGAGGCTGCCCACAAGAGGGAAATGGAAGCAAGGGACAAAGAAATGGAAGCAAGGGCCAAAGAACTGGAGGAGAAGGAAAAAGAGAGGAAGCATGTGGAGGAGGTGGAGAAGATAAAGGCCCAGCAGAATATACCAACAAACCCTAGCAATCCTTCTCCAGGTACCACTTCCCATCCCAGAAAGTTCCCCACCTACAAGGCAGGTGATGATACTGAGGCCTTCTTAGAAAACTTTGAAAGGGCCTGCCTTGGGTACAACATCTCTACTGACCAATACATGGTAGAGCTGAGGCCGCAGCTCAGTGGACCCTTAGCTGAGGTGGCAGCTGAAATGCCTAAAGAACACATGAACAAGTATGAACTGTTTAAATCCAAGGCGAGAGTCAGAATGGGGATAACACCCGAGCAGTCTCGTCGGAGGTTCAGAGCCCTAAGGTGGAAACCAGACATGTCATTTACCCGACATGCCTACCACATTGTGAAACATTGGGATGCCTGGATATCAGGAGCAAGTGTTGAATCTCCAGTAAATTTGCCCTTCCTAATGCAAATGGAACAATTCTTAGAGGGTGTTCCTGAGGAAATAGAAAGATACATCCTAGATTGGAAACCCAAAACTGTAATTGAGGCAGGAGAGATTGGAGCCAGATGGGTGGAGGTGGCAGAGAAGAAGAAAACTGGTCGCAGTTGGAGCGGAGACCAGAAGGGACCACCCCAGACCACACCCTATTACCGGGGGCTGCCCAAAGCCCCACCTACCTCCCAAAGAACCCTCCAGACCCCTTATCGTCCCACCACCCCGTTCTCCAGCAACCCTCCTCGCCCCAGTGACCCGTCAGCTGGACGATGTTTTAAGTGTAACGAGCTGGGGCATGTAAAGGCCAACTGC